TACTGCTTTCAAAATGCATACTTGTAAATGTGAGTACTTGACATTCTCACAAAGGCCTCGGATATTGATTGTAGAGATTTCAATTTTGGACTAGTGGTCACTCTTTTGTGCTGTTTTCATCAACCGTGTGTCATGACAAGCTACAGTCATGCTCTCCTAGGCTTTGCTCCCATCACACGTGACTACAGATGCTGTTGCTTCAGCAACAAATGTCAAATTGGCCATTAAGACCACCTTCAAGAGTATTCCTTATCAACATCCCACATTTAAGCTACAGTATTCCACCCTAAGAAAGCATGTGCAGCCAAAAGAGGCTTATCAGAAAGTCTACAGTGGAAGGTACAGCTGTCAGCTGTTGTCCTTCAGGTTGTGGTTTTTTAGATTACTCTTTGAAAGTCTTTTTTTTTCTGTGTGATGCTGCTTATATATTGAGTATAGATATGTTTTCCCTGAACATGTACATTTTAAATAGAACACACATTTGAATGAATGTATCACTTTGTATTACATGACATCATAAACATGTCGATATATAGATTCACATATCATTGCTTTTAGACAGTAGAGGTATGAACAAATTTAGCATGAATTATAGGCATTTACTATAATCACACATTGTCTGCTGGGGCAATATCCATTTTTCCACATAACGTCAAAGTCTACAAGGGCACCATGAGATGATCTGCAAGTAGTGTCATCTATTGAGGGGAAATGTACATATTGCAGTTACAGATAAGTTTTGGATCATAAGTTTTATGTCAGATGTGTATCTAACATAAGACAGAGATATATTTAAACATGTTTAAACCATAGCTTGGAAAAGATGACAAACTACAGTGACTCCACAAGCTTATGAGAACTAATGGCAGGGAAAGGAAGAATAAGAGGCAAGCTTTGGCTATTTATTCACAGATGTCAGCCATTTTAGTTGTCATTTGTTTATATAATGAAATGTTTTTCATTATTTGAATGATGAGGAGTAGGTCACCATACAACCCAAGGTTCAAGGAATGTTAATTCCCAACCTTGTTGTGATCAAGGTTAAACTGCTAAAAACAGAACAACATAAATATTCCAGTCATTATATTCTATTTATCTCTGATTGTTACATCAATCATAGCAAAATAGAGGCTGCTGAATTATTCAAGTTAAAGAAAAAAAGAAAATTTAAAGAACTTGCACCTATCATAGCAAGCTATCACTATAAGCCTTGGGATTTCAAGCATTGCTAGCTGCATCCCCTCGACACCTATGCCAATCAGTGTTTCTAACTGTTTTACCATTATTCCTTAATATCGTTGTTACTGGCTTATTATTTGCTATCATTCAGCAGTAATAGTAAGAATGAGTTTATATATATATATATGTGTGTTTGTGTGTTGTAAGTGTTGTCCTCTTTCATATATATAATTATATTGAACAGGTTGATAATTCACTTTCTAGTAGTTTGACATTTTACTAGTTAAATTAATAAAATAATCTGATGTGATTCTTAACCAACACTTGTCAAACCACGTGTAGTGTAGAAAGAAATGGTAATTAGGGGATAAGGCTACCAAGTGCTTGAAATGCCAGACATATGAGGTTTTTACACTAGGCCCATAACAATTTTTATATAGTCAACTCATGCAAAATGTATAACATTGAAAAAAATGTTGCATGGTTACTTAATTTTATAAATTCAAGGATAATGATAATGAGGATTGAATGAATGTGAATTTATGAGGAATAACAATGGATAGTAAATAGTCATTTGAATGAAGGAAATTGTTAAATACAGAAGAGCATAAACAGTGGCAACTTTAATGGCAGTGTCAGCATCATATATCTTTATATTCAGTTATTTGCAATGTAAAAGATGGAAGCAAACTACAACTAATTTGTAAAATACAGAAGAACATAAACAGTGGCAACTTTAATGGCAGTGTCAGCATCATATATCTTTATATTCAGTTACTTGCCATGTAAAAGATGGAAGCAAAACCTACAACTAATTTGCTAAGGACCAAAATATTACATTCCCACATTCCTGAAGAATTTAACTTTGGAGGTGAAACTTCATCTTTTTAGTTGGCTTTCCCGATTGGGAATGCATAGTCCATCCGTATTCCTTTAGTTATGATAATTTAAAGTGAACATATTGCATAGATTAAATAACAAAAAATTCATGAGGAAATGCAACTTTACATGAGGGAATGTAATCTTCCCGATAGCTTTCCCTCGAGTGAATGTAATTTTATTTTGTTATTTTTATCCCTGTTTGAGACTACTTTGTATATTTAGGTGCAAGACTCTCAGAAACACCTAATAAATTAAACCTATCTAAATTAATATTTTAAAATAAATGTATTGTAATTATCACATATAAAGTTGAATGACAGGTGTTTTATTCAAACTGTTTCCTTGGATAAATCATGTATGTGCAAAAAATTTGTTGTGAAGACTCAGAGTAAGAGATATCAACAAGCAGGTAGTTGTACAACAATGATGAAGGTTATATAAAGCCATGCAATTGTGTCTAGTAGAATAATAATAAGTGCACTCATGAGTAGTGTTAACATGCTTTAAGAGTCTTAATAGTGAATCAGAATCCTACCATGACCAGTAGTCTAGGAACAACAATGCAAGATTCTCTGGGAGATTAATAGAGTAGAATCCTTTGATTTGTTTATACTATTTTTAAGACCATAGAATGAAAGGAAAAGACCAACTAAGCTCTATTTAAGACAGTTTTATTTTTCTAACAGGATGATTAGCTAATGGAGTAAATTGCTTTAAGCAGGAGTGAAAACTGGTACTTTACAAGAATTTAAGTTTTTGCTTTATCTATCTCAAGGGTAGATATGTGGGGATAATGTTGAAAGACCAAATCTCTTGTGTGTTATGTTGACAAATGGAAATGAGATCAAACAAGATGACTGCATTAATTCTGAGCTGGTTAAGAAAACATTGGAAAGTT